TCGGATCAGATTGTAGCTTCCTGTTTTTTGTGTAAACAGCCTGCAGTGTTGGTACTGCAGCTTCGAATGAGGCTGGACTTTTACTGCAGAAACACTCGTAATCATCTGACTGATAACAGGCGGGTTTTCATTCCGGTTTTTTGTGTTTTGCAGTCATTAAACACTCAAAGCACTGAGTGGTTCTGCACACATATTACCCATTGATAAAGTATTTCCCTCTGCAAATGTAATTGATTGTCTTACCAAACATCCCCTGGTAGCATGATGCATTAGAGTACAGCAAAGAAAAGGGTATGAAAGTACAGTACAGAAGAAAGGCAGTTAAGAATGGTAATAGACAAAAGTAAGAAATGCAGTTCAGTTAAGAAACACCGGATTTGTTTTGTAATTGTTCATAAAATGATAAGCATTGCCTTCTTCGTTTTTCTGTGCAATTGTGTTTATTTACAAGTTGACATGTGCACTACATTTGTTAAAAAAATAAATACTGATGTATCTAGATCACATGTCTGCAAACAGAGCCGCTCTTTCCTCTTTGTATATCAAGATTTTCTGTTTCAACCAAAACATTTTCATTTTTTTCCTGCGGTTATAATTCATGGTTCTAATAAAATATTTGGATGCAGAGCTGTTTCACTTCAGTTCACCCTCTTGTGTGGGAGCTCTGTTTTTCCCTCCGCCTGTCTCTTTTTCTTGGCACCGCCTCTCCATCCATAAATGAGGTTTTGTGAGTGTGTGTGTGTGTGTGTGTTGGACAGAGAAGGCAGCAGCTGTTTTCTTTTTTTCTGCAGACCTTGTGACCGCTCTCAGCCCCCGTCTTCGGACATCTATTTTCTCTCGTCTGTTCTATAATAACTCAGTGGCTGAATCTCTAGTGCTGCTTTTTTCCTCCCTGAACACACACACACACACACACACATATTTTGAAGCTGCTGCTCATCTTACACACTGTCCTTGATTACATTTCCAATATTTTATTGTGAAACCTGCGATGGAGTGCTGTTAAGAATAACTCTTGACCTTTAGAGACCAATGTTGTCATTTCTTTTCAACCGATTATATTCATCATTCTCCCCAAAAATATGCTGCAGAGTGAGATATCCCTTACTTCTGCAGATGTGCTTGAAATGTACACTGGGACTTTGTGTTTTTAAATGTTTTTGCTCAAACTTCTTGAGTATTATTCCTTGCAACTTACAATACAGACATTGGTAGTACTATAGTAGTAGTTTCATTTAAAGTAAAGTACTATATCTACTGTATGAAAGTCTTAAATGTAAACATTTAAAGTTGACCTATTATGCTATATTGGAAAAACATATTGTAGCGCCATACCTATACAAAACATGTCTGTGAAGTTTTTTGCTTAAAATTAGGGATGTCCCGATCACCTTATTTTGCTCCCGATCCGATTCCGATCATTTGATTTTGACAATCTGCCGATACCGATTTTTCCCGATCCGATCTTTATGCAATGCATTAAGAGAACAAAAAGGTAACAGATAACGGGTGGTCATCCAACGCGATGAATCCAGCTCTCTTGGCTGTTATTTGTTTGGCCTTTTCACTGTTCTGGGCCAGTTTCTCTTTCCTTTTGAAAGTCTCTGAAAGTGTCGGTTGTGTCAGTGCCGTTACCCGAGTGGCCGCTGTGTACTCGTCGTGTTGTTGTTTGTGTTTGTTTCTCAGGTGGCGTATTAGATTGGTCGTGTTGAACGTAGCTCTGTTCGTTCCACCACGCGGAACCTCCGCCTTGCAAACATTGCATCTGGCTGTTACACTGCCTTCGCTTTACATTTTATAATACTTCCAAACTCCTGACATTTTCTCTGTCCCGAGTCACCAGCTGAACGTAGCCTCTCGTTAGCTTACTGCTACTATTAGACACTGCGCCCACTCTGTTGCTTTGAGAGGAATAAGCAACCAGGTCTGAAAACAAGCCCAAAGAAAGCAACACATACATGATGTTGTGTGATTTTAAACCTAAGGCCTCAGGATGACTTTAAGACGTGAACATGGTCATTTTTGTTTTGAAAAAATTCCGATCCCCGATTTTTTTTCTCCCGATCTTTTGAAAATCACGTGATCGGATCGGGACATCTCTATTTAAAATACCAAACAGATCACCCATTGTAGCCATGCCTCACACTGCTCATACCCCTCTATTTCAGCCCTGTTCCAAACAGGCTGATTCTGCTGTAAATTGAACCCCTTTGTAGCGTCACGCAGCATTCCCCTGCTACTGCTAGAGAGTTTTCTACCGGGAGATCTCAACTAAACGCTGCGGTGATTAAATGCCATGTTATGCTCCTAACCACTTCAAGCTTTATTTCTGAAACAGTATGGAGCTCAAACCTTTCTCTCACACATATGTATGTATTAACATCAAAAAGTGCATTTTGCATTTGTATTTATTTATAGAAGGACAAAAAACTAAAACATTAATCTCAGCAAAGAGAAGAGATGCAATATGCCAGATTATAGCTAATAGCTCATTTCTATCTGTGGTCCTCAGACAGGTTCATAACAATCAATAAACAAATAATAACATTGCAGTCAAACCATTTTAAAACCTGATTTTAAGTACAGCTCAATAAATTAATACATAGTACACTTGAAATACACTTACATGATCTCGGTCACTCAAATAATTACAAAGCCTGATTTAAATTCAGGTTACGAACATAATACTTAGTACACTTCAAATATACTTAAATAAAATATCTAAGATATAGTATGTATGGACAGTATATTTAAATTCTGAGGTCAGGCGTTTTGTTTTTGTTTGTGAGCAACTTCCCCTTCAGTATTTGTACACAGATTCTCTCTGGGTGTGAACTCACTTTCCTGATGTCTGCCTTCTTGACTAAATACAGTCTCCTTTAAGGAGCTCCGGGTTGTCAAATAAAGAGGCTTCTGTGTTGAAGAGTTAGGAGGAGGAGCTCAGACTGTCAGCCTCACTGCTCCACTTATCTCTTTACAAACAGCAGCCAGACACAAACACACTGACATCAGCTCTGATCTAATGACGGAGCAGGGCCAGCAGTCCCGGAGGAGGGTCTGCTAGCTTTGAGGCCGCAAGGAGTCTTTGTGTGTCCCTGAAGGCTTCTATGAATCAAGCACATGTTGGTATCAGTCCTTCCGGTCATAAAGATGCTTCTATAGCAGGCAGTCAGCTTGTTCCAGGTGAGCCATGCCTGTGCATAAAGGGCAACTCTGAGTCTTAAAAGGAAGTACAAATAGTACAATGCTCGAGTGTTTTGTTATAAACACAACATTTCTTAGACAATCTTTAACCTTTTAGATTAGTTTGTCCTCAAGTGTATCTGTTAAAGTAGAAGTTTAAACTACTCTTTTAATCTAAAGGAAATTAGTTGTTAGGAACATATCTACTAGATTATAGGCTATTATGTAAAATCACAACGGCAAAGTACTCTTTTGCTAAATGCAGCAGGAGAGTGCATGCAGCCAATCAGTAGATGACGTCCTTTAACACATTGACCTACATTACAAATAATCGTTTCCCACTTGAAGAACATGCCGACAGAACATTGTATTATTGCGGCTGGTTGCACCCTGCCACTCCCAGGTGTGAATCCAGCTTAAGTTAATCTGTTAACTACCATATCTTGTGTGGTTAATTATAATAATTAGTATTATAATAATAAAGGGTGTTAGGATAGCACTTATCAAAAAGAGCAATAAAAAAGTGCTTTAAATGAGGTTTTTATGGTGTAGTTTAGGCACACCCCACATACTTAAGCTACGCCCCTTTTGCAGACAAGTATTTTGCATGTGTTTTAGTTTTAAAGTTCATTAGTGTTCAACAATCATCTGTTAACCTGTTAGGCCCCAAGCCTGTTTTTCAGGTTTCAGGCTCGAAAATGACATTCCCAGAACAAATGACCATATTTTCCCTTCTAAAAGGGTTACATTCATAACCTGTGAGTTGGATGTAGAAAAGTCAGAATCAATATAGATGCTTTTTATTTTAAAGAGAATCCAGATTGAACATGGTAAAAAATTGTAAATTAGTGTCCGCCCAAAAAATATGTTGTACTTATAGTGAAAACTAACCTTGGATGATGGGTTAGTAGACTAAAAGCTTTAGGAATCCAAAGTACAACATATAAGTACCCTGTATCAAGATTGATGCAAAACAAGTGATATTTTATCTTTTTAGACGGATTTAGCACAAAAAAAATCTCTTCTGGGGCCATTTGGGTGGATTTGACCTATCTCTGGCCCCCCTTGCTCGATTTTGACATGTGACATCTCTTCCTGACCGTTGGAGCCAATAGAATCGATGGGAAATCGTCCCATAGATTCTCATGTTAAAAAAAAAAGCTGGCGTTTTCGCACATGCAATCTTGTTGCAGAGTGTAGGAATATCCCTGCTCTGACGGCTAGAAACGGAAAAGCTGTTTTATGGCTTATAGATGATCAGAAATCATTTCAAAGGGGACACAGTCACATTGGATATTAACCTATGGATTAACTACAGCATCGTTTTTATCGTTTTAATGCCATTGAACACCAGTTTTGACCAAGGTAAGCCATGTTAGCGGTTGTGGCTACCTAGCGCCACATGTTTTGATGTACGTTTTTGTTGATAACGTCGCAAGTTTGTATCTTTCAGTGTTGAGGTGGGCGCCGTTAGATTCTGTGTCTTTACGATCATAAACGATGTGTTGGATGTGCACCTAGGATAAATAATAAGGGAGCTAGGAGTGATTTTCGGTGCAGTAATAGGTTAGCATTTTTCGCTCGGGGCTAATTCAGAGGGTCAGTGTTAGCATTGTGTGTTTGTTTTTTGTTTTTTTCTGTTAAAGATCAGTTAAAAAAAATTCCGTTATATGGATATAAAATATTCATAGTTGATTAAATATGAAGGTTCCTTAGACGTTGTTTCCTGCAAATCACGCGATTTCGGCCCCGAAACCGAGTCCGTGGGGCTTAAGAGGTTAATATCATGTATTAACTTCTTTTTTGTTTGTGAACAGGTCGGGGGTTGTGATGTTGTTCCGGCTTCCTCTGCTTAAAGACTGCATTTCCCATGGAGCAGTGCACCGACACGCACACTGTTGTACCATGGAGCCACCAGTCAGGTACGGAAACACACACACATTAAATTGTGGGTATTGTATTCTTCTTTTGTGACTTTTCAGTGTGTTTCTTCAGCTTCGTTACACACTCCAACACACACGCACACAAACATACATCATTTGTTTGTGCTATCAGCGATTACTCGTATTATTTAAAACCTAATTACCCCACCTCCGTCTACTCCTGCTCTTTGAGTAGATTAACCTTTGACCCCCAGTGTTGAAGGTGGAGTCGGCCAATCAGAAGGCTTCCTGGCTTTTAATCACAGGCTATGATTGGGTCATTTGAGCTGTCATCTGGTTTGATTAATAACCACAGAGCAGGAAGAGCTGTGATTACACTGAGCCCCAAGGCTGTGTGTATGTGTCATTTTGTGTGTGTGTGTTCGGTGAAGTAATGCTTTGCCAAGAAAAAGAGTGTATTGATATATGTATGTGTGTAAAAGGTGAGGTCATGTCTTCGTCTGTTTCTGCTGAGCCTGTCCTGGAAATTCTTGAAATATTATTATCTCTATGAAAAGTTAATATGCAGCCAATTTATCAAGACTGACTGTTACATTTTGTTTACTTTTTATCAATAGATTATACACAAATCTTTCATTAAGCAGCACAATTTACACAATCCCCCACGCATGTATACGGATTGTGACAAAAATATAAAAGGAAAATGCAAAAGGGCAGTTATGAACAAATCATTTTTTTCTAAATTAAACATACAAAATGTATTTTTTGTTTTCCGTCTCCCTGCCGCACACAAATACAATAAAAATACTTCAATGAAATGTTGTGCCAAAATGTTTTCCGCAGGTCAACAGCTGTTTTAATTTTCCATTTTGACTGGCTTGAGACACTTTAAAAGGAAACATGGAATTTCAGAGTTATTATCAAGTAGGCTTACACATACAACAATTTGTTTATGCATATGAAAACATTTTAAATAAAAATGTTTGAAAGAAATATAACGGGCAGTAAATGCAATTCGATTATGACGAGTTTGTGAAAGAACATCACTGGTGCAGATTTTTCTGTGTGAGTGTGTTTTCATGATGAAGTGACTCAAGTTCGTTGACAGACCTTCAAACAGAGCCGGCCAGTCTGCAGCACAAAATCACTCCCATATGTCTTCTCCCCCAACACACACACACGCCCCTTACACACTGCATACTGGCGCACAGAAAGAGAGCGCACAGAAAATGTGGATTAAAGCTACAAAATAACTTGGCAAAAATGGTTTCTTGCAATTGCACACACACACACACACACACACACACACACACACACACACACACACACACACACACACACACTGGACCACCTATATGTCTCTGTGGCCTGGCTGCAGTTTCCAAGACAGCATGGTGGATGAAACCGTCCGACCTCACTTCTGATTCCAGACCACCCACACACACTTTTCTCACACACACACACACGCACACGCACACACACAGTCTGCTATATATATCTTTACGTATTTGGGGAAAGTTGTCTATGCTCCAGTTTCCACTCCTTCATACTGGGATCAGACCAGTGCAGCAGCAAGGCAGAAAATCCACAAAAACACCACAGAAGAACAAAAAATGACTGACAGGAGGTGAGGGCGAAGAGAGGGCTTAACAGTAAACTTCCTGTCTCTCTGAGAAAGAGGTGGCAGTTCTCAGTCGCTATCAGAGCTAGGACTTCCTGTAGTGTGTGTTGGGGTGTATTTTCCATTACCTGGTTCCCACAATTCAGCAACAGTTTAAGAAGGAAGGGAAGAAGAGGGGGTGGCTGGTGTTGATAAGCTGACAGACAACTTCAAGGCAGAAGATGGAAAACACAGGGCTCTGACTATTACTCAGACCACATCCACCCTATTAGGTTTTAAAACAAACAACTTGTGCTACGTTTTACTCCTTGCTTGCAAAGTCTATAAAGTCGCGACGAGGGTTTTCTGGCGTTTTTGGTGTGCTCAAAGTTGGTCCAAAGTTGTCAGAGCTCTGACTTCTCTGTGTGTTTATTTTCCGTTACCTGGTTCCCACAAATACAGCAACAGTATGGAAAGGGGGAAGAGGAGGAGGGGGCTGGCGTTGATATGCAAAAAAAGTTTCTTCAACTTCAAGAAGGATGATAAACACAGGGCTGAAGAATTACTCAGACAGCATCGTTACTAATTGGCATACGTTTGGCTCTGTTTAACACCCAATGTCGACACTTCTCCAGCGTTCATGAACAACTAAAGCTCAGACTTTTTGAATATGTTGCGTTCAGTCTTTCTAAATCTGAATTTTCTCATCACATTTTCGTCCTGATGAATAACGTGATACAGGTGTTGCTGAGCTTGTTGTCTCTACTAGGGATGGGGCGTGATTTAACAGATTTTCAACAAGTTCATACTACCATATTTTGTTTTTTTACAAGATGAACACTGTTTTTGCCGGACCTTGCTGTAGGTCTTATGACCAGATCATAAGTCTTTATTAGTCTTTCAATGGGATTTGTTTTGTGTTACAGCAGCTAAGGTTCAATGCAACAACAAGAGAAAGTAAAGAAAAGCAAGATCAGTACATTAATATAATGCACAAGTAAACGGTTAGGATGCTAAATATCAGTGATTGACTGAATAGTTTAATTTTAGGTTATTGCATAACGATTTTGCTCAATTAAAAACAATTCAGACTTTTGTAACACTCTAATATTTTACCCAATTCATGTTTTACTCAGAGAATCACCTTTTAGTACTGAGACCAGGAACACTGAGTTACCAGCAAGAGCAGGAGCTGACTGGTTTAACTGGGAGCGTCTGCTCGGAGTGATTTATGATCCTAATTTCTTTTTTTATGGTCTTGAGTGTGTTTGTTTTATGGCTCAGTTGTGCCAGTGATGGATAGAAACGGGTCTAATTAATATCACCTTCAGGGAACCACTTTGTAATATTTTATTACTTAATAACCGTGCGGCTCAAAGTCTGATTATCCGCACGAGGCCGAGAAAAACTGATAACTTTTTATTGATTATTATTTATTAGGGCTGTACTGAATAGTTAGATGCCTCATGTCATGTATAATGATTGCACGTTTATTCATTGTGTTTAATGTTCATATTTTCCTCCGGATAAAGATTAGGCTAAACTAATGGCATTAGAATCTTACTATTCTCACAATTGGATCCTAGTGGTGACTGCGTAGAATTATTTCCAACTTGTGATATCTTATTTTTTTCCAATATCTCAAAGTCCAAAAGTTATCATTTAAAAAACAAAATCTATAAACGTTTTTCTAGTTCACCAAATATCATCATATTCCGTTTGTAAATGTTAATGGTACATTATAATTTCCAATATTTGGTAATGTGGTGTTCCACAGAGATCACTGTTAAGACAACTACTACTACCATAATGTATGTGAAAGATATGAAATCTGGAGTTTATTGTGGCTCTTTCGTTGCAAAAGGCAGAAATCTATAAATTAGTTTCCTGATGCTTCATAAAATATCAAATATATTGCCCATCACATGTGAGAGAGTCCCCGAGTAGATAAATGAATGAATAATTGAGCAAAGTATTATCATTACTAAGACAATTCTATTTACATTCAATTGTCAATTTAGAACTGTATTTTTGTAATTACATATTTACATTGCTGTACATGCTTCTAAAGTTACCATATCATGAGTTTCTGTCCTGTAATCAATCGTCTTAAAGATAATAGACATACAGATCAGGGTTTCCGTTAGCCGGTAATTACCGGTTTTTAGCTGGTCAAATTAATTCAAAACCGGTAAATTCAAAACCTGCCGGTCAAAATGTCTGGTAATAATTAGGGATGCTCCGATCGATCATAAACGGCCGATATTCACTCTTAATAGTTTGATCGGTGCTCTCTATAAAGGCCGATCAGGAGAACTGGATCTGATCGATATGGACATAAACGCGAGTGAAGTATAACCGGACGCCAGAGAGAGATCAGATCAGCTGCTGAGTCTGACAGAGACACGCAGCTCTGCATGATCACCTGAAGCCCCGCCCACTGTTTAGCGAGCTACATGAGAAACTGAGGGAGAGAGGGAGGGAGAGGAAAAAAGAGAGCATCCGTTTCTGCCGTGTTATTATTCAAAGTTAATGTAAACTTTTGAATAATGTACTTCATCTACTACAAGTAGTTTGTTTGAATGTAATAATTATGTTGTTTGTGGAATCATTTATTGAAAAATGAATCTACATTTTTTCGATCTGTTACGATTATAAACTGAAGCAATATAAAAATGAGCCCCGTGAACTGAGTTTTAAACATCAGCATATCTGCTCATAGTCCGGTAATTACCTGCTAACGGAAACTCTGCTACACAACTCTTATTATTATTATTGAAATATGACCGGTAAGTTTCAAATGTATCCGGTAAAATAAATTCTGCACGGACATTTGACCGGCGAGAAAAAATCCTAGCGGAAACCCTGATACAGATTATACATTAAAATTAAGAAATGCAATTATTCACAAGAAGCAAAGATCATTTGAAGATTTATTCAAACTCCATAGTTACTTGAAGATGAAGACGGTCAAGTTGTGATTTTTCTTTCTTTGCATGACAATTGCAACATAATGTAAAAGTACGCATTGTAATATCTGGAGGGAAACGGCATGTTCCTTAGATGTTACTGCCCGTACTACTCATTTACTAGGCCCTTCATTAACTATAGTTTACTAGTTAGAAACCACTAGTACGTTTGTTTGTGGTTATGGCATCAAATAAATCCAAGGAGACTTTTACTTTTCTGTTACCTGGTTCAAGAATCACCCTCGTAACGTTGTATTGAAGAATCATTCGTGGGATTAAATAATGGATGTTGATGAAGATGCAGGGAGGAAGAGTCCCGCAGCGGCGCTCACCGTGGCCCGGGGTATTATAAGATAATAGACATAAACATTAAACATTAAAATGAAGAAATGTAATTATTCACAAGAAGCAAAGATCATTCGCACTTTTGAAGCTCTATTCAAACTCCATAGTTACTTAAACCCCACTGA